ATTATTTTCATAGCCTCCAGAATCAAACTTGTTGGTATAGAATATGTCGATCATTGATTGTTTTAGATATATATATTCCCATGTATATCCATACACATGAATCTCAAAATCGCAGGTTGAACAAAAGCAATCCTCATCAGTACAGCAGTCATTGTCAGACTGACGATCGTTTCAATGATGTCGAGGTATCGATCAGCGCTCCCCATAATTACGTATTGTCTGTACAAATGCCATATCCTGGATATAGTCGACTCTGCATTTGCGTTTAGAATTGCTTTGTACCGCTATTGAATAATACTCTCCGCGCCTAATAGCAATCCTGATCAGGCTGCCGGAAGCAAATTGTCATCTACTCATTTTGACTATGTATGTTCATATAGCAACCAATCAAAATAATATTTATGCTAGCAATAGCTATCGCCGAGATATTGTTACTGTAGAAAGAATACTATAGTCTTTTATGCATTGAATTACGAAGAAAAGTATTCAAGTAATCTACAAATAAAATTCAATAATTAAATTTTGCATCATGCATGGTCGTTATTAGACCAGCCCAAACTAAGAATAATAGTGTACTATGTTAGTAAATTAATAGTGTTGGCACAAAAAGCAATAATGTTCATGGTATACAACATTATAAATTTCAAACAGTTCACTTTGTTCTATATTATTAATTGAATATTCGAAATTAACCTTTCTCAACCAGCATGTAATGGCAGTTTCTCTGTGAATAGAATAGAGTTTGAATTTTTCCTACATTCTGCATATACATATTGGAGTTCCTGAGCGTCCTATAGTTTGTGAAAGACGGGAATTTTTCCTTGTAACTTGTAATTAAATCCCAGTTGGAGTCAAAGAAGTTTAATTCACTGCGAATTCTGAAAAAAAAAAAAAATAAATAAAAGAAAGAAAAATTGTTTTAAATGTTTCTATTGAAAATAATTAAGTGATTCATACTTTAAAATGAATCGCTGATAATAATTGTCATTTTCGTCAATTTCTACTGTATTATCTATAGTCTGTGATAATGAAACATTATGTCAAATCAGAAATCTATTTAAGTAAGCGTAGGTAAAGATGTTAAGATGCTTCATATGATTACCATCCCAGATAACACGAGTTGACAATCAACGAATTGATGTTTAATGATCTACGTCAAGTTTACATAAAATTCGCATCAAATTGTACACTTACAACAGTTTCACAGAACGACTTTAACTTACTCATCAAGTTGATGCAAATCTACTGCCGGAATTGACCGAATGGTTCACTCAAAGTTGACGCGAAGTTTACAGAAAGATGACGTTAACTTGACGCAAACTAGTTGTAAGTACAACTGTTGTTTCACTGTTTCTGTAAACTTTACGTCCTATTGCAGCCGCAGGTTTACGTCAACTTGATTTCATTTTTACTAACAGAGATATTTAGTGTTGGAAATACAATGTTAGTCGATAAGTAGTTTTCTTCGAAATATGTGACGCATGGTAACAAATAGTTGCTCTTCATATGTTTTAACGAACCCTAACAACCACTTGGTGGTTGATTCACGTCAAGCTGCTTGGCAGCAATCTGTCAACGCAGATTGATAACAGATGGGCTTCAAATTCTGTTATTGAGTTGGAATTGCGGTTGCCTTGCAGTTATTTCTATGTTCGTTATTCCTCTTCTTATTTTAAAATGGATACATTATCATGAAACTAATATGTTAAGCATTTAATTCGTTAGATGGCTCTTTGAGCATAGATAAAAAAAATTTTCCTTGAAAAATATCAAGTTTTATTCTAATATCATTTTATGGCTAAATTACATGTTATTTATTGAATGTTAAAATTCAATAAATAAATAACTTAAACGAAAAAATTTGGTCTTACCCGCGGTTAATATTACATTTGAGAAAACCATACTGAAATATATTGATTTTTTATTACTCATTCGGGAAAAGTAATATCTTGGTGTTCGCTGTTGCGGTTGAAAAAGAGCTGCTTGCCCATTTTAAAATTACGCGTGAGTTTTTTCATAAATGAAACAGTTATTTGAGTGCGTCAAGTTTACTTGTCGCACGTGAATTATTCTTAGCACACTCAACTATCCTTGTCGCACGCAATTGACTATGAAAACTGCTAAAATTAAAATAAATAACAAAAGAAAAACACAATCTAACTGTCGCTAACTGTCAATATTAAATAAGTGAGGTTGACATTACAAAGTTCATATTTTTAACGAAAGTAAAAATAATTAATTAATACTAAGCTGTTTAATTGTGATGAAAATTAATTTAGCAGAAATTTGATAATTTTTGTAACAAAGAAATTATGACAAAAAAAAATTTTTTTTAAAATTAACTGGTAGGAATTTTATAAAATAAAAAATGCAATTTTTTATGAATAATTTTTTCGGAACAAATTTGTTTGTTAAAGAAAATTAAAAAATTGTAAAGTGACAGCTAAATTTAATGTCATTTAATTTTATGTATTGATTGTTTTAATGTGTCAATTTATTTTTTGTTAATTAATATTGATTAATTTGCATTTATTATTTAGTATAGATTTGTTTCTTTTTTAACTTTTTATTTGTGTTTTTGGACTGGGGAAGCTCCACCCCCCCCCATCCCCCGCCGGGGCTCCGCCCGTGAACCCCGATTTTAGGCCCACATATATCGCCGCATTTGTAATAAAAAATAGTATGTGCAACTCGTGCGACGTTGTCGCACTAGTTGCACAATATACTATTATATTTTCTAAAACATTAACAAATAAAGCAAGTAATGAGTATAAATGAATACATTTCAATCTAAAGCAACCCTGTGACTGCCGAGGATTGAAAATAATAACACTGGCAAAATAATAATGCCCTTCATTTCACTTATGTCTTGATGAAATCGTTTTCCTTGTTCTTCGCTTATAGTCTCCAAGACTTTTAAGGAAAGTGGTCGACGTGAGAATCGATAAAGTGTAGTTTAAGCTTTATTAAGCAACCTAAATTTTAATAATTTGTTACTAATTCTTCTACTAACGTCCTGTAGTTTTCGCTTTTTTTATTTTCTAAAAAGTTTTGGGACACATTAATAAAACTTACCCAAGCGGCTCTCTCCGTCTCGTTCGATTTACCTATAAAATTTGCATCCTGAAATACAGTTCGAATTTGGGATCCAGCCAAAATTCCTTCTTTTAATTTTTCATCACTTATCGCAGGAAACTTTTCTTTCAAGTACTGGAACCAATCACTATTTTTGTCCAAGGCTTTGATATACTGTTTTATGAGACCTGCCTAGCTTAAAGTGCGACGAATTTTGCTATTAATTAAAATTTCCTCCGTGACATAAATTTTTCATAGAAAATTATTTGTACATGTTTTTTACGAATTCTCTTAAAATAAGTAGCCAAATTTCTTTTCCACACCTCAAGTGTTTAGAAAATGCATTCATTTTAATCTGTTACAATTCCCTTGATCCCGTAATAAGAACATTTCATCGGTTGTGAGATCAGCAAAAATAAAATGTATGTAAAATTCTTAGTCCATTGACTGAATGGCTACATGTAAAGTTAAATTTTGGAAACCTTACGATGACTTTTTTCGCCGCTGGCAAAGGGACGATTGTTGTAAGAGAATATAATTATTAAGAAAGAAAAATACTGAAATCTGTTGACCTTAGAGGCCATCCCTGTCATTTCTTGTTTCTCTTGAGATTCTATCAAATTTTATATCTGTAGGAACTGTACTTGAAGATTATGAATTTTTTGACAATTATCACTCCCACACTCCTATGTAGGGGAGGAATTTTGTAAGATCCTATTCGAGATAATTTCTACATTATAAATAAAAGGTTCCTACACAACTTCGAGTCCATAGAAACTATTGTTTGAAAATGAGAGATTTTCATTGTTAACGCTCCCGCTATTCCTTTTGGGATTAAAAATCGAGAAAATCCATTCTTAACTGAACTTGACATCATACGCGAAGATTCCTACCAAATTTAGAGTCTGCAGAAGTTACAGTTTGGAAATTAAAATTTTAGATTTCAAAACCCGACCCCGCAATACCTATCGGAAGTAGAATTTTTTGAAATCTGCTTCGAGTTGATCTTCTCATGACAAATTAAAGATTCCTACTAAATTTACAGCTTTTAGAAGCTATGTTTTGAAAATTAATATTTTTTATTGTTAACACCTACCCCCGCAATCCTTATTAAGGATGGTTCGTCGTAAAATCCACTCTTAGATTATTTCTACATCACATATAGAAGATTCCTACTAAATTTAGAGACTATAGGAGCTATAGCTTGAAAATAAAAAATTTTATAATTGTTAACACCCACCCCCGCAACCCTCACCCTTGTGAGGTGAGCTATCGTGAAATTCATTCGTATATTATTTCTACATCTCTTACAGAAAATTCCTACTCGATTTGGAGTCTATGGAAGCTACAGTTTAAAACGGGAATTTTTCATTGTTAATGCCCCCGCAATCCTCTTTGCGGTAGGATATCGTAAAATTCGTTCATCAATTATTATTTCGTCACTTACAGAAAGTTCCTACAAAATTTGGAGTCTATAGGAGATATAGCTTAAAAATTAATAATTTTCATTGTTAATACCTACCCCCATAACCCTCTGTGGGGTGAGATATCGTAAAATTCGTTTATAGATTATTTCTACATCTCTTACAGAAGATTCCTACCAAATTTCGAGTCGATAGAAGCTATAGTTTAAAAACGGGAATTTTTCATTGTTAACGCCCCCGCAACCCCCCTTGTAGGTGGAATTTCGTAAAATTCGTTCTTAGCCGACCTCTACTTGGCGAAAGGAATATTCCTGCCAAATTTCAAGTCTCTACACGGAGAAAAATTAATTATACTATCTACTATACGAAAATATTAACTTTTACTATCTGAAATAGTAATAAAATTAATTAAGCACAAAATAGTAGGTGGTATCATTAACAATTGTAATAGTTACTATTAATAATGGTAACGATTACCATCGCAAATTATAATTGTAATTATTAAAAATTATAACTGCTATAATCGAAGATGGTAACTGTAACCATCTTAGATTGTAAAAATTCTGAACGAAAAAATAATATAAATTTATTTAATTAAATTCTTTATTTATATCCATATTTTAGCTATGTACATTTTTTTCTTCAAAATATTAAAATAAGTAATAACACAATCGCTTAAATTCATTAATGATAAAAATTTCCAATTATTAGAACTGTTATCAATCACTTTGAATGATTATCAAAATAGCAATCATCCAACACTTGGGTTATTAAAAAAATTTTATTATTATCAATTGTTAATATTTTTTTTACAAGATAAAATAATGGACCACCATTTGATGGTTCCATTATTATTGAATTAATTGTAATCCTATCATTTTGATAATTTGTGCATTGAATTTCTGCAACAGAATGCATAATTTGAATAGGTAAATGTTCATTACATCCAATAGCTTCAAGAATATCATTTAATTCAATGTCTTTTTTATGACAAGTCTTCATGTCAATGTTGGATTTTTCTCCTACAGTAAAACGGTGATTTAACCGTAATTGACTGCGAAGGGACATTGAATAATTTACATTTATTCGATTTTTTGAACTACTAGCCGATATTTTGTGTTCCTGATGTTTCGCTTCATTCCGTATACAGGAAATTGTGAAATGACCCCAACTTCTTCAAAGATTCTCGGGTAATGTATAAGAAAATGATGTTTCGATATCATTTTACCCGGGAATAATTTGATGTGAGTTTGTAAGCAACTTTCGATGTACGAACTGAAATACTTAGATGTACCAGTAGACACAACCTTGCTGCTGATGATTTCAATCATGATTTTCATATATTTCAGTTGGTTTCAATATTCATTATCTTCATCTACAAATTCACCCAATATCAAACAAATATTACGTACAAAAGCCAACATTTCTGCTGCAGACATTGCCAAGCGCATAGTCTGCCGAAGGTGACTAACAAGAATTTCTGGGGGCTTATTCTGATTGTAATTACAACCGTAATTAAATCCTTGAATACGGCAATTCAATTGTTCGATATTAAATAATTTTTCTTGATATATAAAGTGTTGCAATATTAATGCTAAATCATGAGGACAAATTCCATCAAGATAATCATGCATTGGATCAACTGACAAATTTTCCATTATATGAAATCCTTTGAATGAATATTTATTGCTTTCTTAAAATTTACAATTAAGTGCAATGGAGTTCGTTGAAATAATACAAGTTAAATAGATGTGTTATTAGTATTTATGTTTAAATTTAAATTTGATTCTCTTATTTTGCAAAATAAGCCTATGAAGTTGTAAGCTGTCTTTAGGTCTCTGGGTTTATGTAGTTGAAGGATGGTTTCCAGGTTTGTGTTATTTAGCAGACTTGCGATGGCATTGATGAAACTAGTTCTGATTTGGTTATATAAAGGGCAGGACAGCAGAAAGTGGGAGAGGGTGTCGTTTTCACCAGAATGACAGGAGGGGCATGGGCACAGCGGACTGAATTTTGTTGACTTTCCGTTGATGTAGATGTTAAAACCAAAGATACTCGCTGTACGAAGTTGAGCGAATACTTTTTTGACATGAAGTGGAACTTTGCTGGTTAGATACAGGTTGCTATTTTCTTTAAGAATAGCGATAGATTCCAGATAGGCAATATTTTTAACTTGATTTATGTTATTCATTATTAAGTTTTCTTTGTATTTGCGTAGTAAGATTTTACCAATGCGTTCCCAATCCTTTGCATCTGTAGAGTCAATAATCCATAAATAACTTCTATTAATATTCTCTATAAAGTTGTAGATTAATGAAAACCAATTATACTCAGGAGAGGTATAGCCATTTTTGTGAAGAGCTATCTGTTTTTTGAGACAAATAAGAGGAAATCTATCCTCATCCATGCTAAAAATTTTGGTTAGCCAGTCCCACGTATTGCACCAGATGTTATAAGAAAGATCTACTCGGTTGACTTCGAATTTAGTGAGTACATTTGATGTGCAGCGTTTAAGATATAATACCGATTTATAGAAGTCTGTGATCACGGTGTCTATGTTGCTCAAATACCTAAGCGCCCAAATGGGGGCAGCATATAAAGCTACTGAGGAGACCATGCTGTCAAAGATGGAGTTTATGCTTTCTAGGCTGTTCATGTTAGATTTATGTATCATGGCAGTGACGGTCCCATTTGCAATTCTTGTCTTCTTGATTGCATTTTGTAGAGCAAGACGACCAAGACCTGATGATGAAATGGGGATTCCTAAATATGTGTAGCTTGATACTACTTCTATTTGTTCTTGATTATAGTAAAAATTCATATTTTTAGGAATTTTCCCCGCCTTTCGGCTGTACAGAATCTTTGTCTTGGCTACATTGACGAGTAGTTTGTTTTTATCGCAATATTTGGCTAAGATTTTTAGTTTGCGTGCGACATCAGCCTTACTATTTGCGATGATAGCCAAGTCATTGGCGTATGAGAGAAGAAGGATGTTTAGTTGAGTTGTAATGTTGGTACCGTACACTCCATCTGCTCGGAAAAAATCTTCTATGTCGGAGATGAACAGTACAAATAGCAGAGGGCTCAGGATTTCTCCCTGCAAGACTCCTTCGGAGACCTTGATGTCTTCTGAGTATCCTTCCTGGGTTTTTATTTTAAAGGTCGCTTTATCATATAAATTTTTTAATATACGTATGAGTTTCGCGCTGACGCCAAGACCTAGTAATTTTGTCCAAAGCAGTTTATGCACTATGGTGTCAAATGCACGCTTCAGGTCTACGAAGATGATGAAGGAGGATCCCTTTTGCTTTCTTAGTTTTGTGTGTATTGATTCAGTAAGAGTGAAAAGGTTGTCCATGACGCTTCTTGTAGATCTGAAACCGGCCTGACCTTCCGGTAAAATTTTGCACTCTTCAGTCCATTTGTATAGCCTTTCGGCTATCATCGCGGTGAAAAGTTTCAGGATATGATTCATCAGGGCGATGCCCCTATAGTTGCTAGGATCTTTTCTATCGCCCTTTTTATGAAACATCGTGAGTATAGTGCGTGACCAGGCGTCGGGAACACATTCTTCGCGTAGAACTTTGTTGAAGAAAGTGATTATGTATAATTTCTAATTGCTTGGACATTCCTTAAGGAATTCATTTGTTATACCATCATCACCAGGGGCCTTACCCAGTTTGCTGGATTTTAATGCTTTGTTTAACTCCGCCATGGTGAAGTCTGCGTCGAGTGTTGGGTGAAGTACCCCGATGTAACTGGTTTTGTCTTGTTCAACAGGTCTAGTTATGCCTTTGAAGAATTCCACCCAGTTTGCACCGGTGATTTCGGGTATATACGAGGATTTTACACGAAACTTACTTAGGGCTTTCCAAAATTCTTTCCAATTTTTTGCATTGTTTACCTTTTTAGTTAGAATTTCATAGTATTCTTTGCGCTTTTCTTCATATATTTTTTTGTACTTTTTGACTGCCAGATTGTATTCTTTCTTGTCTGTAGATTTAAAATTGTTTTTCCTATAAAATTTTAGCTTCTGGTTGGCATCTCTTTTTAGCTCTCTACAGTCGTTATCAATCCAGGGTTCAAAGTGTCCACTTCTCCTGATAGTTGTTTCGCGTTTGAGTCCTAATTTATCTGCTGTATAGATGATGGTTTGGCTCAGCCTGGACTGCATGTCATTTATTGTATCTGTTTCAACATTTAAATTAACTAAGGGTGACCATTTCATGTTTTCTTTATAAAGGAATTTATACTTTTGGTCCCATATTAGTTTGTATTGTTTTTGTATATTTTTCAAAACTTCTGTCTTCTTGTTTTGTTTGAGTGACAAGTTAATTGGAAAATGATCAGAGAAAGTTACTGTATGTACTATTTTAAAATCTACTATATAATCAATGCCTAGAATATTGGTCCAGGCCAGATCGATGATGCTACTGCCGATGCCGTGGAACGTTGGGTTAGCCGGGTTATCGCTTTCTGTTCTGCCGTTTATAATTATGAAGTTGGCGCTATCCATCATATTGTTTAGGCTCTCTTCTCTTTTATTTAAGCTATTATCTGAGAAGGAGCCAGCTGAGAACAGATTAGATCCAACCAAGAGTTCTTCTGGAACAACAGAAGGCACTCCTATATGTGCATTATAATCTCCTAAAAGGAAAAATGGTTTGTCGGGGAAGCGACCCATAATCGTGTCCAGAGCCTCACGGAAATTATTAATATCATCTCTGAAGTTTAGTTCACTTGGACGGAGATATGTGAAGCCAATTATATAATCGTTATCAGGATGTGTTAAATGAATAAAACAATAATTGTAGGATGATATGATGATGTTTTTGCTGATATTTTTTTTTGTTAGGAGTAACAGTCCCCCACTAGCTCTGCCAAGATTTTTGTCCTTGGTAGCGTTGATCCAGAATAGGTCATAAAGATTGGTCCAGTAGCTGATTGTAAGTGGTTTAGTAGCCCAAGTTTCAAGAATACAGATAACATCATTGCCGATAAGATCAGATTTGGCTAATAAATTTTTAATGCCTCTCGCATTCCATAGGACAATGCTAAGATAATCAAATTTTAGTTTTTTGTGGAATCGTAGCGAGACTTGGAAGGCTTGGCCAACTGTTGTTCTTTACGTTTTGGTGGGGCTTCCGTTGGGATCAATTTTTGATGAACATTATCCCATTTTAGCCAGTTATCGTCGATTTTTATTTTATTACCGGAGATTTTTATTGATGAACCTTTTTCTCTGTAAGGTCTTGCCGCGTTTCTCAAATTCCATGCTTCTTCCGTTTGGCGTTCTGTTAGTTCATTTTCAATGTATATTTTAGTAGCATTGAGGATGTTTTTTTTTGTTTGACATTATGTGTTGTTTTATTTCAAAGTTTCGTAGCATGATTTTGTAAATATTTCGAGACTTGCCCAAAATTTTGAAGTCTGTATAGGCATTTTCCAACTTGAATTTAGTGTTTATTAGATCGTGCACTACCTCAGAACCATCGTCACCAGCAGTTGGGGCCGGTAGCCCTTTAACAATGATGTTTAGTTTCTTTGACGCTCTTTCCTTGGATTAGATACGTTGTACATAATTTATCAGATGATTTATTTCATGTTTATAATCTTCAGGTAAAGGATCTGCATGTTTTTGCCCTTTTGATCCGTCATATTTGGGTTTTAGGGCTTCTACTTCGGTTGACAGTTTTGCATGGTTTTGCTCCCATTTTTTATCTAGTGCTTTTAGTTTCTGTTGAAGTGCAAGGGTCTTTTTACTTTGCTCCTCCTTCACCTGCTCCACTTTATCTGTTATTAATTTTTCAAGGTTATTAAATTTTGTGGTGTTTTCCTCCCTGAGGAGCTTGATTTGTTTCAGTATCTCGCTTGAACCCATATCAGTTAGTGAAGACGTAGCTGTAAGTTCACTCTCGCTGAAACTTTCCAAAGATTCCGAGTTTCCTTTATTTATTTTTTTCTTTGCAGCGCCTAAGCAGCTCACGGTTTCTTCTAAGAACGATTTCTCGAAACTGTCTTCAAGCGTTCTTTTCCTTTTTGTGAAGTTCTTTGATTGAACAGGTTGAATGTGAGACAAATGAATGTGGATGTTTTACAGGTCGATGTAAAACAAAACTTTCTCGGGTTGACGGTCTGCCCGGCTTACGTTTGTCGGGCTTAAAGTTAGTTGGAGTTTCAAATTGTACCGGGGCTCGTGAAGTTATGGTAGATGTTGCTGCTATAGTATTCTCATTGCACTTTTCCCCCGAAGGTAACTGACCGGCTGTTATAAGTGTAGGTTGCACGGCGTGGGGGGTAGAGGTATCATCAACTTGAAAAAGCAGGCGACCAAGTCCTGACATAACCTATCTTTTACTTTTCCACGGATAATTTTTCTTAGTATTTATGTGATTTACAGTAAGATCAATCACGATTTATTATTTACACGACACTTTATTCATTTATCACTCGAATTAGGTTTATGTTTCAAAGTTTGGACTGATTTTACTTGGGTTTAATAATAAAAACTTTTAGCACCGGACGCACACGTCCGCACAGTATACCAGCCCGTAACGAACTCCTATGAAATCCTTTAACTTTGTTAAAAACGCATTCTTTTTTAATTCCAGTATCAGAAATATTATTTTTTGTAAAAGATCATTGTCGTAGTTATTGACATCACGAAGCTTGCACTGATTTTCGAGTGTAATTTTTTGAATATTAGATCTTTCAGTTTTACAGAATCGACAAAAATATTTGGCATTGAAACTTTCTGTTAACCCAAAAAGTGAATGAACACCTAAATTATCTCCAAGTATCAATGATAATTGAAAATAAACTTTTACGGAGCAATTAGATAATTCAATATTAATTCCTTCATCTCTTAATTTATCTAACTCTAAGATAATTTTATCAAAAAGAACATCATCAGTTACGTCATGTCGATCTAATGGATTAAACATCATAATAAAGAAAAATGTTTTCCAATTTTGATTTGTACTGAGGGGGAATATTCGGTAAATTTATGTACACAGCACCACACTTATTAATACCTTTATGGCTCCCTAAGGGATTGTTGGTTTCAAATTCGTCAAAAAACAGAAACAAAGGAAAAACTATTTTTTCAGTGAATAATGACCGTTGTTTTTTCCATAAGGTGCCTTGAACAAAATTACTAATGATATTTATTTCACACTCCAATAATCGCATGAACTCTAATGTTTCCTTTAATATATCAGAAGATTGGAAAAAAACTTTTAATAGTTGTGCTAAAGGAATTTTTTCTGCAAATATATTTACAGGAACTAGATGATTTGAACCGTCTATGTTTTTATATTCTAATCTCTCACCAATCTTTATCGACTCCGGCATAATTAAAGTTCCATTACCTTTGAAAAGTTTAAATTATTTCCATTCGGATTTCAAGTTCTTAAAAGGGTTGGACGTCACTTTAAACACTTTGTTGATTTCATATTTCATTAATTCTAAATTTTGAGTTTTTGAGTCTATTATGGTATTGATGTTTTCTAATGAGTCACTAAAAATTTTCTGTATCAATTCAGCGGTTAAAGAAATAATAAATTGAATTTTATTTCTCGGAATATCATTCATATTAAAAAGATATGAGATGAATAACTCAGCTTGTTCAGTGACATTATTTTGGAGCAACAAAATCTGCTCGTTTGATAAAATATTTTTCAGAATCCATTTTGTTATTTTTTTTCCTTCTTGTAAGAATTTTCCCATGAACCAATGTATTTGATTAATGCTTAGTATGATCTTTTTAAAATAATTAGAACTTAATTATATTGAATTGATTTCTTTTAATGAACACTTATTTTTAAACAACTTCCTTAAAAACTTTTTTTTTAATCACTCTAACAACAATAATTCTTAACATTTAATTACTATAAAAATAAAAATTAATCCTTAAAACGATGATAATGATGATAATATGTTTTATCTCATGAAGGTGTATCCTCAGAGAATAATTCTTTCAAATGACCATAAATTGCATAAGCTCCCGGTGATAATTTGCAACTTGTGATTGAAATTTGAAGATTCTTTATGGGGCTTCAAAAACTGCGTCGAATGCGACCAACCGCGTGAAAATCAGTGCATTCATTCAAAAGTTATTGCCGTTTGAAAATTCAAAAAATTGTGTTTCATTAAACTGCTATTAGAGTTTTGAGCTCGACGAGCTCAAAAACGTAATGTGTAATTTTGAGGGCTTAAGTACAAAATGAGCGGGAAGTTGCAGGGATGACCTTTAGGGTCAACCGTCTTCCTAATTTTTTATTTTTATACAACACCCACTTGTTTTGCATTATGAATCGTGTGAAAATTGAATTTTTTTAACTTTATTTGTAGTAAATTACTCTTCGAAAATAACTATTATGTGGAGAAATACAACTTCGTTTGCTATAATCATACTTTGAATCGTCGAAATTATCATAGAATTCTTAAAAAATCAATTGTAGGATGCAAATTAATGTAATAGCTACATACTAATAACCATGTGTATGGTACACATTAATGAAGTGAGAACAAAAGAAAAAAATAAACTCAAGTGAGATAATTCCAACAAAAATTAACAAAATTTTGTACTTAGACGTTAATAGCGTGAGGTAAATGGTAATTTCATATTTTCAATTGTAGCATGCAAACGTGTACTCCACTATAATTAGTGAACTCAGCAATTTAGAGTAAAAAAAACTTTTACAAGTATCGCGAAAAAAGTTTTATAAAAAAATTTTAGTTATGCTGGTGTAATTTTGTATTCATATCTATTTTTTAAGGATAATAACGATGCTGAGAAAACGGTAATAATTTTATTTAAAAATTATTTCGTAAGTATGGTTTATCGAAACACGTAGACAATTAGAAGTCCATGAACCCCTACAAAAACTTCGCAACTTTTTTTTATCTCAATCATGTTAATATATTTGGGTTTTGTGTGAAACAACAATTGTTATCACCAATCAATATTAATTGGATTTTGTAAAACTAAGATAACGTAAAATACATTTATTTTCAATAATATCCAATTGTTTTATATTTATTTTTATCGTTAGTTCGACGTGTATACATTTGCAAATAAATCAAGATAATCTGAAAACTCTGATTGTATCATCCTTTATGAAATTGAATTATTAATTTATAATACATAACTATTAACTTATTTTTCATTTTTCATTAAGAGAAAATTTCTTGTAAAATAGGATTAAAGCGCTGCAAAAAATATGGACTATTTTATTTTTAAGTTCATTGTCTTTAATTAATTAAAATAGTAATTTTATTTTATTTATCTTTTTTAACTTTCAACCATGAATTCAATGAATTTTAAAACATCGGGATGTAATTGATTTTTTACTCCGGTATTCAATAATCGAATTCTCATCAGTTCTCCTAAGAAGTTATTATGACTATTTTTACGAGATTGTCACCTAGTGTGTGTGTGTGTTTTTTTTCCCCATTAGGGGGGGAATCCTTTTTACGGATTCTAGGCGTAGTTGTTTGGCCTGCATATGTGGCGACTCGACGCAGCGTCATACTAAAACTCGACGCTAGCGCCCCTACCCACTAAACCCTAAACCCCTTTCCTCTTTCTTCTAATCCCTCATGGAAACCGCCGTTAGGCATTACTTCGTGGGGGGAGGATATAGCGACTGCTCTTCCTTCTGGTAACTAAGGTATTATTTTACCTTTCTTCTAGTTGTTGTCATTTAGTCTTTTTCTTTCGATGGAACGCAAGTCTATAAGGACTTCTGTTGCAAACGTGTTTGCGGCGTTCCAGGCAGCCTCTGATGACAGCATTGCTTCTACTATTGTCTCTGGTTGGATTTTCTTCTTCAGGATTATCTCCAGCTCATCTCGCTGTGGGTAAAATCGTGGGCACTCAAAGAAAACGTGCTCCGCGTCTTCATTGATTCCTGGGCAGGACGGGCACTCCGGTGAATCATCATGCTTGAAGCGGTGAAGATACGTCCGAAAACATCCATGTCCTGACAACATCTGCGTCAGATAGTAATTGACCTCGCCATGACTCCGGTTTAGCCAAACGTCGATCTTCGGTATGAGACGGTGTGTCCATCTTCCTGTTGTCGCGGCGTCCCACTGCGATTGCCATCGTGCGATGCTGTTCTGCCGTTCTTCAGCTCTGAGTTCCTCGGCACTTAGTGTGGTTGACCGCTTTCGTTGGTAAAGGTTCCGTCTTTCCTCAGCTAGGACTCTGAGCGGCAAAGTTCCGGAAATGAAACAAACTGCTACTTCTGATATCGTGCGGAATGCACTGGCTAGTCACAGCGCTCAGTCGATATACTGGTCCAGCTTTTCTCCATGATTCTTGCAACTTCAGCGCGTCTGCCCAAATGGATATTCCATATGTGAGCACCGATGTGACAACTGATGATAGTAGTTGTCTCCTGCTCTGCTTTGGGCCTCCGACGTTCGGCATCAGTCGTGCGAGACTAGCCCTCACTACTGACGCTTTTCCACTGACGTGTTCCACTTGCTGTTTAAAGTTGAGACGGGCATCAAGCATCACTCCCAAATATCGGATATAAGGTTGTGATGTGATTTCTTGTTGCGTCTTTATTCTCGGCGTTCTGCTTCGTCGCGTCTTTCGGAGGACTTGGCTTCAGGTCCTTCTTCTTTGCCACTCGCCTTTCTGTTGGATCTGGCGAGTTTCGGTCCTTCCTCTTATTAGACTTGGGAACACCTTCACTCTTGTCGTCAGCAATAGATTCGCCGTCACCATCGCCACCGGTGTCCATTGATTCCTCAGTCTCAATAACAGCTTGACTGCTTTTCTCTGGCGTAATGCGAGGCGTTAGTCGTTAGCAAAAGTGTTCGTTGCATTCCAGGCAGCTTCTGAAGACAGCATTGCTTCTACGATTGACTCTGGTTGAATTGTCTTCTTCAGAATCTTCTCCAGCTCCTCACGTTGTTGATTGAAACGCGAGCACTCGAACAAAACGTGCTCTGCATCTTCAGTGGCTCCGGGGCAGGACGGGCACTCCGGAGAGTCGTTATGCCTAGAGCGGTGAAGATAAGCCCGAAAGCAGCCATGTCCTGACAATATCTGCGTTAGGTAGTAGTTGACCTCACCGTGATTCAGGTTCAGCCAAATGTCGATCTTTGGTATGAGACGATGCGTCCATCTACCCTTGTCTGCGGCATCCCACTGAGATTGCCATCTTGCGATGCTGTGCTGTCTTTGTTCCGTTCTGAGTTCTTCTGCGCTCAGTGTTGTTGACCTCTTTCGTTGGTAAAGGTTCCGTCTTTCATCAGCTAGGACTCTGAGAGGTAGAGTCATCAGCCCAAATCGATATTCCGTACGTAAGCACTGATGTGACTACAGTTGCCAACAATAGTCTTCTACTTTGCTTTGGGCCTCCGACGTTAGGCATCAATCGTGCGAGACTTGCCCTTACTACTGACGCTTTGGCACTGACGTGTTCCACTTGCTGTTTAAAGTTGAGACGGGCATCAAGCATCACTCCCAAATATCGGATATAAGGTTGTGATGTGATTTCTTGTTCGCCGACTTTAAGCTTGATGGTCTTTAACGCTTTTCTGCTGGTAATAAGCACTGCCTCAGTCTTATGTTTCGCCAGTTGAAGATTCATTGTGTCCATCCACTGGTTAACTTCTTGGAATGCTAGATCAAACATGTGGTGAATCTCGTCCAGGTGTTTAGCGACAATCACTACGGCCACGTCGTCCGCATACGCTACAAGTTTAACATTCCTCGGGATCTTTAGCCTTAGGAGCCCGTCATACATGATATTCCACGCAGTAGGCCAAGAACAGAGCCCTGCGGAACACCTCCGGTGATTTCGTACTCTTTCGGACCGTCCTTTGTGTCATATCTCAGGTCTCTATCCGTGAAGTAGCTAGCTACTATTTTACGTAGGTATCCTGGCACGTTCTTCTCTTGAAGAGTTTGCATAATGCAGTCCCAGTTAGCAGAGATGAAGGCGTTTTTGATGTCTAACGTCACCACCAGGCAGTACTTCTTCGTACCACCCTTCCACCTGGTTCCTGCAATTGCCTCCTGGGCCATAGTAACAACCAGATTGATCGCGTCCAGAGTTGATCGTCCTTTTCGGAATCCATACTGGTTGTTTGCCAGGAGTGGATCCACAACTGCATCTATTCTTTGATGAATTATGCGTTCGAATATCTTACCGGCTGTATCCAGCATACAAAGTGGACGGTAAGATGACGGCTCTTCTGGTGGCTTCTTTCCTTTAGGGAGTAGAACCAGTCGTTGTTGTTTCCATTTCCGAGGAAATGTCCCTTCCTTGAGGCACGTATTGTAAACTTTCAAGAATAACGTTGGTGCTGCCTTTATGGATGTTTTCAAG